AATGGAGAGGCCTACCTTGTCAATGGATTGGAAGACTCAAAATAATAAAGATGTCAATTCACCCCAGGTTGATCTGTAACTTTAGTGCAATTCCTATCAAAATTCCAGCAATGTTTTCTAGACATGGACAGGCTTATTAAAACATTTATATGGAAAGGCACAAACTGTAGAACAGCTAAAACAATCTTGGTAAAGAAGAATAAATTGGGGGAAATCATTCGAACTGATGTTAAGTCCAACTGTATAGCTGCAGTAATCAAAACAGTGTGATACTGGTGTGGGAAAAGACATAGACATCAATGGAACAGAAAACAGAATCCAGAAACAGACCATCCAAGTACAGCCAGTTGATTTTTGACAAAGATGCAAAAGTAACTCAATGGAGGAAAAACAGCCTTTTCAACAAATAGTACTGAAGCAACTGGATATCCATAGGTTAAAAAAAATGAACATTGACCTAAACCTCACACCTTATACAAAAATTAAAACTTGTAAACCACATATCTAACAAGGGGTACATTTAGAATATATAAAGGACTCTTAAATCTCCACAGGAAAAAAAAGTCCATCCAATTAAAAAATGAGCAAAAGACATGAACAGATATTTCACCAAAAAGGACACATGGGTGGCAAATAAGCACATGAAAAGATATTCAAAATCAGCCATCAGGGAAATGCAAATTAAAACCACAATGAGATATCACTACTACACACCTATAAGACTGGCTAAACTAAAAAAGTTACACCACCAAATGATGGTGAGGATACAGAGAAACTGAATCACTCACACATGCCTGGTGGGAATGTAAAATGGTACAGCTTCTCTGGAAAAGTCAGTTTCTTCTAAAACTAAACATACATATGACCCAGGAATTGTACACTTGGGCATTTATCCCAGAAAAATAAAAATTTATGTTCACACAAAATCCTGTAAACCAACATTTATAGCATTCTTATTTGTAATAGACAAAATGGAAACAGCCCAGCTGTTCTTCAGTGGATGAATGACTAAATAAACTGCGGTACATTGCTACCATGGAATACTACTCAGCAATAAAAAGGGACAAAATACTGATGCAAGCAACAACCCAGATGAATCTCTGGGTAACTATGCTGAGCAAAAAAAGCCAGTGGCAAAAGGTTACATACTGTACAGTTCCATTTACATAATGTCCTCAAAAATGACAAAATTATAGAGTTGGGAAACAGATTAGTGGTTGCCAGGAGTTAGGACTTTGGGGAAGGAGGTGAGGTGTGGCTATAAAATGGCAACAGGAGGGATCCCTGTGGTGATGGAACTGATCTGTTCTCTGTGGTGATGGTTACATGAACCCACATATGTGTTAAAACTGTACAGAATGAAACACAGACAGACACACACACACACACACTATATCCACAAAATGTAACAGTAACATAACACATATGTAAACAAAGCAATAACAACAAAGAGCCAGGAACCTGCACCATATTCTTCATTACATATTTACAAAAGGGGATTCACGAGGAATTTTGTGATGTATCCCACAAGAACGTCGAGGATCTACTACATAGTGATATCCTTTCTTAGGGAGAAAATGAGGGAATTTTCTAAGAGCACCAAAAGTAATCTCTTAAAATGGTAAAATTTTTATTTTAATCAGTTTTGTTTTTTTGGGTTTTTTTGGCTGTGTTGGGTCTTTGTTGCTGCGCGCCAACTTTCTCTAGTTGCGGCCAGTGGGGTCTACACTTCGATGCTGTGCGCGAGCTTCTCATTGAGGTGGCTTCTCTTTGTTGCTGAGCACAGGCTCTAGGCGCATGGGCTTCAGTAGTTGTGGCACGTGGGCTCGGCAGTTGTGGCTCTCGAGCACTGGCTCAGTAGTTGTGGCGCATGGGCTTAGTTGCTCTGCAGCATGTGGGATCTTCCCAGACCAGGGCTCGAAACCACATCCCCTGCATTGGCAGGTGGATTCTTAACCACTGTGCCACCAGGGAAGCCCTCTAATCAGTTTTAATATTCATCTTTCTAAAGTGTATTTCAAATACCCCCACCTTTTCAAGTGAAGTAGAGAGAACATAATTTAACTTTTTCCTGAAGACATCGGGATAGAATTATGATCATCAATTGTTATACTGTGCTATAATACAGTGATGTCTTTGAGGGATCCTGATTCAAAGCCATTTGCCCCTACACTAAATGGCCCAAAGCCTGCTCTCAGCTTGCTGATTCTGTCTACTTTTCCTCTGTTACTCTATCAACTAACACGTAAAACAGCAGCATGTTGGAGCCCACAGGGACTTCTGAGATGACCTAGTCCAAGAGGACATCTTTTGCTCAGTATCACACAGTAAGTTGAATCATAAAGGCAGGAGTATAACCCTGGTTTCAGTGTGGTTCTCAGTGTGCCTGCCTCCAGCAGACACCCCTTTCCTATTTGCCGCTTTAAACTACTATAGTAGGAAAACCAGAAAATAGGGTTGTCAGAAATATGTATTCAACAAGGAGTTTGATTTAAGCCAGTGGGTCCTGGGTGATGAATTCTCATATAAAGTAAATCTTTGTGACAGGTATTTTGGCCCTAGCCCTTTTCATATAATGCCAAGTTTGTGGTCATGATCCAAAAGGTTAAGGATGCCATAGTCTGGCTGGGGCTAAGAAAGGTACTGTTATTCCTGTTTACTCATGTTTGTAGCACTTATTATAGACAAGTAGATTTTCTGTACATTCCCCCACTGGATGCTCTCAGGGCTCATCCTGCTTACTATGGCATTAATAACTAGCTACCCTTTCCAAGTAAATGAAGACATATAGAACATTATCCCAGTTCACCTCTTGTTCCAACCTCTAATGGGCAATGAAAATATATAGCAGAGTCCTACTTCTCTGTTTTAAAACAAACCTTCCACCACCAATCTTTTATCACTTTGAGAAGTTCCAAAAATGAAACTGAAGAGATCAGAAATAAAAAACGAGATGATTTCCTCTGCACTCAAAATGTGTCATTTTAGTCACCAGAAACCATAAACACTAATTGTCATGAAGCATAGAGAAATCAAAGGCCTTGAAATAGCAAAAGTACCTCTCAAAGGGCCTGAGTGTGACTGTCACTATATTCTAGTCAAGTAGTATTCATGGACACACAAGAAAGTTACCAAATATTTATTCCTGGTTTCATTAAAGCGTATGAATTTTCACTTGAGATCACCTTCTGTTCTAGATCTGTCTACGCTGGGTCTAAACAATATCAGAGAGTTATACCTTTCCATACTGAATGCCATTTAGCATTATGCAAATTATAATCTGTATCTGATATTTCAAAGGCTGTCCTTTTGCAGAAAATCATAGAAAATTAACTATGTATTAATGGCAGAAAATGCTAGTCACCTGACAGATATGAATATAGGTTAAGAAATCAACCACAGGTTCCCCAACTTTTCACGGGCTCAGGTCACGCTTACCACTGTACCACAGCAAGGATATGTATGATGACAGTACACATCCTGAAAAATTTCTAGTATCTTGGATTTTAAGTTTTAATTACTATTAAAGAGCTTGACAGTCTGATTTCTAAAACCCTCAACTCCATAACTCCATAACAGTTGAACTGAACTATGTGATTGTTACCTTTCAGCCCATCAACCATGTCATCTGAAAAAATAAACTATTCCAATTGTTTTAAAACAATGAATTCTTTCACTCAGAAGGAGACACTGAAAACATTACTTTCCCCCCACTTCTCTCTTGATTTACAAAGATATGCCCCCAGATGTCATGGCCACTCAATTTGATTTCTTTAATTCAAAATTATAATTTTCCATTTTGCTACACTGACTGTTATCTAAGAGTTAGAAGAACACTGAATTAGGATTAAAAAACCCTGGGCTTTAATCTTGGACTCCACCACTATCTAGCTTAGGTATGGCCTTGATATTTATCAAGCTATGTGACCTTCAGCAAATTAAACTCTTTGAGCTCCACTGAGGACTCTGTGAAAAATCTAATACTATTTGCTCTATCCTAGCACAGGACCATTGTAAGGCTCAAATAAGATAATGTATTTAAAAGAGCTCACGGGACTTCCCTGGGGGTCCAGTGGTTAAGACTCCGTGCTTCCACTGCAAGGGGTGTGGGTTCGATCCCTGGTCTGGGAACTAAGATCCCACATACCACGCAGTGCGACCAAAAAAAATTTTTTTTAATAAAAAGTAAAAATAAAAGAGCTCAGTAAATTATAAGTCATTAATATATTATCTAAACAGAGAAAACTGAAAGTTTTATTTTTTTCTTCCACAACTGAAAGTTTTATTTTTTTCTTCCACAAAAGTTTTATTGTGATATAATTGACATAACGGCACTGTATAAGTTTAAGGCGTACAGCATAATGATTTGATTTACATACATCATGAAGTGATTATCACAATAAGTTTCGTGAACATTCATCATCTCATACAGATACAAAATTAAAGAAATAGAAAAAATATTTTTTCTTGTGATGAGAACTCTTAGGATTGACTCTCTTAACAACTTGCATATATAACACACAGCAGTGTTCATTATATTAATCACGTTGTACATGACATCCCTAGCACTTATTTATCTTATAACTGGAAGTTTGTAACTTTTGACTGCCTTCATCCAATCCTCCCCGCACCCTGCCACCACCACCACCAGCCCCCACCCCCGTCTCTGGTAACCACAAATCTGATCTCTTTTTCCATGAGTTTGTTGGTTTTTGAAGTTTAATTGCGACAACACTGATGGACCTAGAGGGTATTATGCTAAATAAAATAAGTCAGATAAAGACGAGTACTACATGGTATCGCTTATATGTGGAATCTAAAAAATAATACAAATGAACAAACCTAACAAAACTAATGTTACATTTTTAAAAATGCAAACCAGCATATCAAGTAGACTTGTAGCAACCAATGCCATATAAATTCTTACTGCTGGCTTCTTCTGAAGACATGTGAATAAGAAGTCATGAACATAGTTTATTGTAAATAAATAATTTTCATACCTGGCATAACAAAACACTTCCACATGTTGAATGGTTTTGTCCTTCCTGCTAAGAGCAATAGCTTCTTCATTTTCAAGGATCTTCTCTTGCCACACTGGGCATTCATTTACAATATCACTGTTTTCCTAAACAATATACAGATAAGAAATTGTAATTAAATTGGGTACTCTGAACCTCTACTTTTCTGAGAAAATTTATACCTTTTTAAATTCATGCTTTGCCTCTCATCACATCAAAAGGCACATATTACTTATTAATAATAAAGTTTTACATTTTGTTGTTAAAAAAGCAGGCCCAAAATTACTTCATTCTGCTTACTTTCAGATTTTTGAAGGTTGGTCATTAGCTGTGTCAAATTTTGATTATATGTAAAAGTGTTTTTGAAAAATACTCAGCCCAATATAACTAAGGACTTTATAATAATCGACCTGAATATTTTATATTTAGAAATACAATAAAAACAAGAATGTATAACAAAGTATATAAACTCTCACTAAGGATTGAAAGTGGCCCTTTAAGTTTTTCAATAATTCCTAATTATATTTTACGGAGAAAGTTATATGACACAATATTTGAATACAGGGGATTTTTGAAGATGTCAAGATATACCTTTTCCAAAGGTCAAGGATCAATTTTTAATCTGTTTAAAATTTTAATCCACTTGTTACCCATCTCTCAGAGAGAAAAATTTTTTAATGTATTATATATACTCAACAAACTAGTAGTGAAATATAACTACAGTAGCCTTTGTTTTAAGTAAATTCACCTCAGAAAATTTCTAAAGTTACAGATTTCATAAAGTAGGGCAATAATTATTTTTAAAAGGCTGCATTGTCCTGAATTTAATATTTTAAGCTGAAGAAAAGTAGTGGCAGATGGCTCTTATCATCAAGTGTAATTATTAGACAGCATTAAACATCCCAACATAAATAGGAGGTGAAGTACAGGAACTTTGAACATATAGACAGGGGTACAGCCTGAAAAAAGAACTATGGACCAGGGACAGAGAGTGAAGGGAAAAAGGATATGGTGACAGAGTCAAGATGTTGGAGTAAAAGAAGCATTAAAATAAAAGAAACATCTACAAAAATATTTTGTTTTAATAAATCTAACCCATTACCAAAGTTTATTTTTTAAAAATCCCTTCACTCACCAAAAATTTTCCATTCAGACAATTAGGGTATTTTTGATGCTGTTGTTCTGAGAATCTAGACTAAATTTTTGCATGGAAGTACTGAATATGACTCAACATGAGGTGATCCTCACACACACTTCCCAAGGATAAGGTTCAAAAAAGGGTTTCTGATCAACATAAAATATTTGAGGCATATTCATTTAAACAGTTAAATGAATCTATTTATAACATTTACTTTCTTGATTCATACATAGTTTGTGTCATTACATGAAATGTTACTTTACAAATATTGCTTGTTTCTCCACACTCTCATTTCATACAATAATAAGATTCAAACTGAATCTTCAGTGTACCTTCAATGTCAATGTCTTTGTCATCACTACACTTTTTGAGTCATATATACCATTAAATCAATCAAGAAAACTAAAATGCTTAGCTTGGTATATGGTAAGTGCTTAGTTAAGTCTTAGCTGTATTATTCTTAGTTAACTGAATACAATTTTCTAGAGTCTATCATCCTCCTTTCCCAAATGTCTGAACCCTTTTGAGATACAGCAGTTTCTGATTCTATGTATGATGCTGTCAGTAGGAATTCCATTTCAAGCCACATGCACCATTTACATAAAATTAGGACAGTTTTTTTAATGTCTCATAAAACTGGTAAACTGCATGACAATCAACTCCCCGTGTTAAACGTACGCTGAAAATGATCTCTAAAAACTTCTTTACAATGATATCCAACAGTTGTAGTAGTGAGATCCTACCCTTAGGAAAATAAATTACTAAATTTATATTGTTTCTTTCCTTGCATTTTGATTTTACTGTCAGGTATGATTCTGTCAGGTGATTTCTATAAATATGTAAAACCACCAATGACTGAGATCATTTCAAATTAATGTATCTTCCCCAAACACTTAGGTTTTTTTCTAAAACATACTAACTGAAAGAACAACTAGTAATATGTGAGATTTTATAAGGACTGAAATATTTTTTCTGAAAGACTGGGAGAAAAAAAATCTTGCCTGATATTTGGGCGTACAGAGTAATTAGCAAACGGTATGAAACATATATGATTTATTCTTCAGCCAATGTTATCTGTTTATACTTAAAAAGTGAAATCTGTATTTTAGAGGTATTGGAAAAATATTAGCTGAAAAGGTGACTGCACAGTTTTTGTTAAATAAGTAAATAAGTTATCAATCCTATATTACAGAGGAAACTTAGTGTCTTCTTCAATGCAGGGTTATTACGTGACACAAAATATAACCTAGTAGATTAAAAAATCAGATAAGAACTTTACCTGGTGTTCCTTTAGCCAGGACAACAGTCCTGAAAAGCTAAAACTGGCCCAGTTTCCTCCATAGTAGCTTCTTCTGTAACAATAAAAAATAAGAGTAAAGAAAAGGGTATAAAAAAATCAAGTCACTGATCTTCATCCCATGTCATTTTCAACATTGCTACCCCAGAGTTCAAAAGCACACATAATAGGGATGCTGAGATTAGAGGAGACAGTAGAACAAAATAAATAGAAGTGGGCCTTTCAGATCTCAAAGTCAACTTTTCATTGTATAAGGAGTTAAAAGATCGCTTTGGCCTCCTTAGAGCTTTCAGCACTGATCAAGTGCCACTGGATCATGTGATTGTGAACATCCTGATATGGTCACTGAGCAGTATATTTGTTTTAACATAAACAAATCTCACTCCTGGGTTAATAAAAATGGCTGGGAAGAAAATCTTGGTAGATCTCAAAGAAAGCCACTGGAAAAAACTGCTAAGTTTTCCACAAGCAGTAAATATCCACTGCTAGCACTACCACCAAACCCATCTCCCATGCCTAAATAAATTTTGTATATACACATATATAATTGGCTACTCGAGATCTGCTGGAAGGCCCTGTGCCATTCTAAGCCTTCAGGGCCACAAATAAAAGTAGATCCTGGGACACAGTCATTCACATCAAGACTTCTGTGATAAGTATAACAACAACAATATTTCCACTGGTAACTGGGTAAACTATTCTTCACTCCACAGTCCTGTGAAGATCACTCCATTTTAGAGAACCCAGAGGTCTCCTAGCTAGGATCAGGTAAACCTTGTAGACACTGGACTTCTGATTAACTTCTGTAAGTAGCAGACTTTTGGCAACCAGAACTCTCAGCACTACACACAGGGCTTCCCAATCCTTGCAAAACTCATCACGTTATACTGATTCTTTGTATGATGAGCCCCAAAGTACACTCAAACCCACCTACAATATCTACTCTAGTTCTGGGAGATTCTTGGTTTTGTTTACATTTTTGCTTCTCTGTATCCTTCTCTAATGAAATAAAAATCTATAAAAGGTCTTTTTTAAACAAAAACTAAAACCTTTAAGATGATATCTAAAATTACTCATCCATAATGCTACTGGATACCCTCTAAAAATTCTGATAGATTTCTCCTCAATCAACTCTTGGTTGGTCTCAAGAACAGTCAGTTTTTAGGCTCAAATATTTTACCAAAAATCACTGCTTGCTCTAACAGAGAAAATGGTTAAACTGAACACCTGTGAAAGTAGGTCTATTAATACAGATCACTACTTTACTTATAATCTGATAATTCTCTTGGGGATGATGTAAATTCCTACACTATCCAGATCTCTACAGAGCTTTAAAATTTAGGAAAAATTTCAGCTATACTAACAATTCTAGGTGTTGGAATCAAGGAAGCCTAGAAGCTATTATCCCTTGGATCAGAGACAACAGTGGAAGGAGAAGGTGGGTAATAGCCAGTATAGAGAAGGAGGGAAAAGAGAGGGATGTTAGAGTTTTCCCATAGCAAATTTATACTCTCCTCTCCCTTGCCTGAGAATAATACACTTCTGCCATCCCTTCCCATCCTCTAAATATATCACTCAACAAAACTATAAAATATCCTGAGTGTTGAAAAAAATAACCCTGAACCAGTGATAAAAACCACTGCCTTTAAATTTTTTGTTGAGATATTTAGATTTCTTTTAAGCCACCATAAGGTCCTAAATGAGAAGCTCTGACTACTGGGTGAAAGCTTCAAGACCTAAATAAAATTTTTTAATGGCTACATCAATTTATTACTAATAAATATATATCAGAAATCTGACAATCAGGGTAGACAAAGACTTCTCAGACAGGACACAGAAAGCAATAAAAACTATCGATAGATGGGGGAATCGGGAAGATGGCGGAAGAGTAAGACGCAGAGATCACCTTCCTCCCCACAGATACACCAGAAATACATCTACACGTGGAACAATTCCTACAGAACACCTACTGAATGCTGGCAGAAGACCACAGACCTCCCAAAAGGCAAGAAACTCCCCCACGTACCTGGGTAGGGCAAAAGAAAAAAGAAAAAACTGAGACAAAAGAATACGGACGGCACCTGCACCAGTGGGAGGGAGCTGTGAAGGAGGAAAGGTTTCCACACACTAGGAAGCCCCTTCGGGGGCGGAGACAGCGGGTGGCGCAGGGGGGAAGCTTCGGAGCCGCGGAGGAGAACACAGCAACAGGGGTGTGGAGGGCAAAGCGGCTAGATTCCCGCACAGAGGATCAGTGCGGACCGGCACTCACCAGCCCGAGAGGCTGGTCTGCTCACCCACTGGGGCGGGCGGGGCTGGGGCCTGAGGCTCGGGCTTTGGTCAGAGCGCAGGGAAAGGACTGCAGTTGGTGGCGTGAACACAGCCTGCAGGGGGTTAGTGCACCTCGGCTAGCCGGGAGGGAGTCCGGGAAAAAGTCTGGACCTGCCAAAGAGGCAAGAGACCTTTTCTTCCCTCTTTGTTTCCTGGTGCGCGAGGAGAGGGGATTAAGAGTGCTGCTTAAAGGAGCTACAGAGTTGGGCGCGAGCCACGACTAACAGCGCGGACCCCAGAGACGGGCATGAGAGGCTAAGGCTGCTGCTGCTGCCACCAAGAAGCCTGTGTGCGAGCACAGGTCACTCTCCACACCTCCGCTCCCAGGAACTTCTGCAGCCCGCCACTGCCAGGGTCCTGTGATCCTGGGACACCACACGGCGCTCCTCCGGCTGCTGCAACATCACACCGGCCTCTGCCGCCATAGGCTCGCCCCGCACTCCGTGCCCCTCCCTCCCCCCCCACCCCCCGGCCTGAGTGAGCCAGAGTCCCTGAAGCAGCAGCTACTTTAACCCCATCCTATCTGAGCGAAGAACAGACGCCCTCTGGCGACGTACATGCAGAGGCAGGGCCAAATCCAAAGCTGAGCCCCCGGAGCTGTGCTAACAAAGAAGAAAAAGGGAAATCTCTCCCAGCAGCCTCAGAAGCAGCAGATGAAAGGTCCACAATCAACTTCACATACCCTGCATCTGTGGAATACATGAATAAACAACGAATCATCCCAAATTGAGGAGGTGGAATTTGAGAGCAAGATTTACTATTTTTGCCCCTTTTCCTCTTTCTGTGAGTGTGTATGTGTATACTTCTGTGTGAGATTTTGTCTGTATAGCTTTGCTGTCACCATTTGTCCTAGGGTTCTATCCGTCCGTTTTTTTTTCTTTTTTAAAAAATTTATCTTAATTATTTTTTATTTTAATACTTATTTTATCTTACTTAGTTATTTTATTCTCTTTCCTTTCTTTCTTTTCTTTCTTCCTTCCTTCGCTCCTTCCTTTCTTACTTCCTTTCTTTCTCTCTTTCTCTCTCTCTCTTTTCTTCTTTCTTTCTTTCTTTCTTTCTTTCTACATTTTCTCCCTTTTATTCTGAGACATGTGGATGAAAGGCTCTTGGTGCTGCAGACAGGAGTCAGTGCTGTGCCTCTGAGGTGGGAGAGCCAACTTCAGGGCACTGGTCCACAAGAGACCTCCCAGCTCCACATAATATCAAACAGCGAAAATCTCCCACAGATCTCCATCTCCACACCAGCACCCAGCTTCACTCAACGACCAGCAAGCTACAGAACTGGACACCCTATGCCAAACAACCAGCAAGACAGGAACACAACCCCACCCATTAGCAGAGAGGCTGCATAAAATCATAATAAGTCCACAGACACCCCAACACACACCACCAGACGTGGACTGCCCACAAGAAAGACAATATCCAGCCTCATCCACCAGAACACAGGTACTAGTCCCCTCCACCAGAAAGCCTACACAACCCACTGAAACAACATTAGCCACTGGGGACAGACACCAAAAACAACGGAAACTACGAACCTGCAGCCTGCAAAAAGGAGACCCCAAACACAGTAAGATAAGCAAAATGAGAAGACAGAAAATCACACAGGAGATGAAGGAGCAAGATAAAAACCCACCAGACCTAACAAATGAAGAGGAAATAGGCAGTCTACCTAAAAAAGAATTCAGAATAATGATAGTAAAGACGACCCCAAATCTTGGAAATAGAATAGACAAAACGCCAGAAACATGTAACAAGGATCTAGAAGTAAAGATGAAACTACCAACCATGAACAACACAATAAATGAAATTAAAAATACTGTAGAAGGATTCAATAGCAGAATAACTGAGCTAGAAGAACGGAAAAGTGACCTGGAAGATAAACTAGTGGAAATAACTACTGCAGGGAAGAATAAAGAAAAAAGAATGAAAAGAACTGAGGACAGTCTCAGAGACCTCTGGGACAACATTAAACACACCAACATTAGAATTATAGGGGTTCTAGAAGAAGAAGAGAAAAAGAAAGGGACTGAGAAAATACTTGAAGAGATTATAGTTGAAAACTTCCCTAATATGGGAAAGGAAAGAGTTAATCAAGTCCAGGAAGCACAGAGAGTCCCATGCAGGATAAATCCAAGGAGAAACATGGCAAGACACATATTAATCAAACTGTCAAAAATTAAATACAAAGACAACATATTAAAAGCAGCAAGGGAAAAACAACAAATAACACACAAGGGAATCCCCATAAGGTTAACAGCTGATCTTTCAGCAGAATCTCTGCAAGCCAGAAGGGACTGACAGGACATATTTAAAGTGATGAGGGAGAAAAACCTACAATCAAGATTACTCTACCCAGCAAGGATCTCATTCAGATTTGTGGGAGAGATTAAAACCTTCACAGACAAGCAAAAGCTGAGAGAGTTCAGCAGCACCAAACCAGCTTTATAACAAATGCTGAAGGACCTCCTCAAGGCAAGAAACACAAGAGAAGGAAAAGACCTACAATAACAAACCGAAAACAATTAAGAAAATGGGAATAGGAACATACATATCGATAAGTACCTTAAATGTAAATGGATTAAATGCTCCCACCAAAAGACACAGACTGGCTGAATGGATATAAAAACAAGACCCATATATATGCTGTCTACAAGAGACCCACTTCAGACCTAGAATCACATACAGACTGAAAGTGAGGGGATGGAAAAAGATATTCCATGCAAA